GTCTGTCCAGTGGTTGTAAACTAGGACAAGCACTTTCAGTCCCTTTTTGAGGCTCATGACCATTCAGCTATTGGTTATGCTGCAGGTTTAAGGATGTAAACATGGTTTCCAGTGCAAGCGCAACCGCCTCTGGCAGCTCCCTGCCTTTAGAGTTGTGGGAGCTGTGGCTCTGCAGGCTGCCCGGGGCTGCAGCAACCCCGCAGCCTGTTCCTGAGCTGGGGGTCTTGCTGCGGTCTTGAAAGCGGAGAACTCCAAAACTGAGAGTTGAAAAATACTCACCTACTCACAGGTGTATCTGGCCTTGCGTGATATGGCCAAGAAAGAGGGGAAAGATAAAAATGGAAGGAACATGGCAAATACTCAAGCCTACTCAATCCAAAAATTGGAACTGTTTTTTTCTACTCTTCAGATTTCTTTAGTTTTGCATGTTGTTTACCTTTTATAATGGTTTAAAAGGCTAAGATGTTTGTTAGTAGGGAATAGGTCTGACAACATCCTGCATTTTTTTCCCTTTATAAAAGCATAGTTGCAGGTCTGCTAATTAGCTGTGTTTCTGGTTAACACTGCTACCTGTTTATTTTTAAGGAACTAGTTGATCATAGCTGTGCGTAAACATTTTAGTGAAGATATTTAAAAAACCCAACAAACAGGAAGCTGTACACAAAAGCCACTGACGGGATGACCCTGAATTGCAAACAGGTAATCTCAGAGCTCTGTGTTTAAACTGGTATTTGGCAAGGAAGTCAGACTGTTACTAGTGTGGCCTGTCAAATGAGTGGGGGACAGACTTCCCTGGAGATGAGCAGAGCCCCTGTTCGGGGGTATAGAGGACTTGCAAACGTGCAGCTTCCTTGGTGCAGTCTGCCCTTGGGAAAGGCACAATGTGGAAAGCAGTTCTTGCATTTATGCACTGTGTCCCCTCTGCCCAGCTCAGGACTTGAGATGTGCATCCTTTCAGGATGCCCCAAAGGTCAGTTTGCAGTCGCTATGCACCGAGCCCTGTCTAAACGCGCAGACCTCAGAAGCATGAACAGCTAAGAAGAGTGCATCTAGTGGCGGCTAAAATAATTTGCAGCTTAGAAACATGTAGGACTGACTTTTAGGTTGTACAGTTTATCATAAGGCTATTCCTACTAGGTTCCTTTGTTCCTCATGACAAGCAGGTAAATTGGGATTCAATCCCTGTAAATCCTGGTATTGCGTGGTGGTTTGGACGGCTGGAGGCTGCACCGCCTGGCCCCAGCCAGTAGGTCGTGTGCTGTGTACAGAGAGCTTGGAAAGCAGAGATACCTTCAGTGGGGAATCTCAGATGTTTCCCTGTTAAATCTTTCATATGTGAATAGGAGGATATTCACAAACTGGCCGCTCTGTTCACCTCGCAGCATAATCATTCCCCTTCTCAAAATCGCTTTGGGACAGCGCAGAGTTCTCATTCTATGACCTTTCGTTTCAGTGGCTTGCTCTTGCTCTGCTTTCTGGAAGTGCAGTTGCTTTCATCATGGTATGACTTGTGATAAGCAAACCTGAAAATGGCTTGAAATTTGGATTAGTTCAGATAAGCGTCCTGAATTGCACCTGTAGAAAGTTGACCATGAAGGTATTTTAGTTTGATTTGTGGTAGAAAATAATCCAAATTTAATGATAGTGTATTGTGTTGTTAAATAGATACAATCTCCTGTAATCCCACGTGGTTTGACTTTGTAATTTTTAAAGAATTTTATATTTCTATAATGATTCCCATGTGGAAAAAGGAGTGGCTACTTAAATACCCCTAAAAATATCTGTTGTCTTTTACTGGTGTAAGTGTTTTAGTATAAAGATCACAACGGGTTACACTTTTTAAACTTGCAAGAGTAGATTTAGCATTTAGGTTAGTGTCTGCTTTGAAAGTGCCTTCCAGGCAAAATAATTAGGGCATTTTTCTTCCGTAATTGGGGGCAAAGTTGTTTCCTGTCCCTGAGATGTAGAAGACACTGAAAGGCAATACCATTGCGTGTGCGTTTCCTATTGCATTTTTCCTGATTATGGCTACAGTACATGAAGGAATTTTTCAACATGTAGTCCTTAAAATATTGATCTCGCAGAGAAAGCTTTTGACTGAAAAGAGTTGTCTGCCATCCAACGTACCATTCATATGGCATCGTGAGCAGGCAGTCTTGGAATCGCGTTGCAAGCTCATTGCTCTCGCTCGTGTTTCTCCCCACCTGGCTGCAGGGAGTCGGGTGCGCTTAGATACAGCTTTTATATACAGGTATTTCAGGGTCTTCTGTTTTTCATTTAATTATATTGCCATCAAATCCTCTTGCTGGGCCTAGAAAGGTGTTTTATGTAGCAAATAAAGTATATTGGTTGTCCCTAAGGTATTGATCAGGTGGGTTTTTTTTTTCTTTTTTTGCTTTTGTCTCTTTCTTAATGGAGGCCTAAAGTTAGGCCTCCAAACCCTCCTTAAATGCCGAAATAAATAGTCTGCCTGTGAGAAGCACTCAGCTCTCTGAAGCCCCTGTGGAAATTGAATTGGCAGGTTTTGAAACAGGGAAGTGTCATAAAGGAGGAGTTAATGAAGAAGGTAGGTGACAGAGGGTCTGGTGATATGTGCCTTCAGCTCAAGTGAGATGTTGACCTTTCCGGATGTGCCTCGATAAGGGGAAGGCAGCTTAAGAATTGCCTAAGTCCGTTGGCGCTCCTGGGTGCAGAGCTCTCTTTTAAATCAAGTCACTTGTTTAAATGTTCAAATAGAGAGTCGCTAACTTGCTCATTTTTATCACCTCAGCTCTTTTTTCTCCTTTGTAAAAGTGCTGATATCCGAATCGAAAGCTGTATTTGAAATATTAGATAATTTCTGCAACTGGTTGTATCCTATAAAATTAATACATGGAAATTCACAGCAAGTGAGATTATTGAGGTACAAATGCTATAATATGGTAGACTGTATAGTTCAGCTGCCTCTTTGTTACATTTTTCTGAACCGTTTTGCTTATTTTAGTTCTGTGATACTCAAGACACTTTCCTGGTTTTGATTTCATCCTACTATTTTTCAGCAGAGCGTTTCTTAACAGTATGGCGTTCAACAAGATGAATAACGTTTTCTGTTTACTGTTTACATTAAAAAATGAAACTTCTATTTAAAAAAAAGAGTATTCCAGATGCCTCCAGGCTGTAGGAAATGTACCTAGTATACTACCTAATAAAAGAGCAAATTTAGCAGAAGGGCTAAAAAGTGGCACGCGTTAGCAAGTGGTCTGAATTTAAACACTAGTGAACACAAGGACTTCATTTTAGATGAGTGAAATGCACATGTAAAGTATTAAAATTTAACTTTATAACTACATTTCATCAGGACCAGGACGTTCTGTGTTTCCAAATCATCTTTAAAACTTCCTTTTTCATTTAGTTTTGATTAGATTTTCCAAAATGGAATGAACATAAACACATAAAAAATGTAAACCATAAAAGTGAAATAGAAAACAGATATATCAACAGTAAAAATATGAAAGCCAGATCCCATTTTTCTCAAGTGCAATATGGGGCAAACACCCCTCTTGTGTTCTTGCTCCCGTGCTCCTCTCGGCCCCGCGTGCCTTGCTCGGTCGCTGGCCCCTTTCCCTGCTGCAGCGCTTCTCCTCATAGCCAGTCCTTTCTGTAAAACCCCATCTCCTCATCCACGCAGGCTTAGGTTTTTTTGGGGTAGGTAAATCCTTTAGGGTGGTTTTAGAACATGATCTAAAGAGCAGTTAAGTCAGTGGGAAGCTTTCTTTAAAAAAAAAAAAAAAAGGGGAGGGGGCTGTAAAGGAGTTGGTTCCCTTATAGCTGCATATTGTGGAAGGGTGGTTTGGCCTTAGCAACAGTAAAATCGCCTGAATGCTGAGGATAATTTACTGTCAGTATTGCACCTGGGCGAGATGTGTGCATGTGGAATTGTCCTTGCTGGAGGCTGTTAAGGAAAGGACAGATTCTAGACATCTATCAGGCAAAAAATTTTGTCAGGGTATGGACTAAGTGACCCTTATTTCCAAAGACTTGTGTGTTGATTTTTGTGGCATTGGCAGCAACATGCCAGTCAGATGCTGTGTACAGTGACTTCATGCTACTGCTTATGTACTTCTGGAAATGCAGTTTTGTAGAACTGTTTTAAACTTCCACGTTTGCTTAAAATTTTCTCGATGTTTTTTGTCTATTGTCTTTGTTTTCAGATGGAATATTAGAGAGACAATTTCAAACTGGGTTAGTGGCAGTTTCTCTCTTTATTTGACTGAATGTAATCCTATAACATATGAAATATGGAAAGATGCCTGCTTAGATTCAGAATAGATACCATCAGGAAATCACTGCAGTGAAGTCACTTTTCTTTAGCGAGTTCATCTGAGAAAAAGACAAGGAAAGCTCAGGTGAACATGAGGAAGCCCAAGGGATAAGAGTCACAGAAAATATGGCACAAAATCGTTCTCCTTTTTAAAGGTAATATTAAAGTTCGTTGTGTAGTCAGTGATTGAAAACGTTTTGGCAATTGAGATGGTCTTGCATGTCTTTTTTCCTTTTATGTCCATTGTATGTGCTAGTACCCTCAAGAGCAACTGCTAAAAAAATTAAGGATGCAAAAAGGAAATGCAAAAGGAAATCTTCATGCAGGAAATTTTTACAAAAGCGAGATGTTTATCCAGTGCTAACTACAAGCTCAGATGTGTTCCATTACTGTGATACTTTCCCTGTGGTTTTTTGTTTCTTGTATCTTAGGAAGCATCCATGTTGCGGATCACTTCAGTTAACAAGGGCTTCAGAAGTAGAGAGTGCACAGGCAATGCCTGCAGGAACTTTGAAAAACTCCATAACATTTCAATTTTCTTTGCTCTGTTTACAGTACAGAAGAAAAGTAAACAAAAAAAAAATTCGCAACTGAAGTGCGATGGTTGCATTACGTATCATCTGTCTGTGGTCCGGGAGAACGACAGAATGTCTTTTCTGAGGCTGTCTTGTAATTTTAGTCATCTGCCTGTCTTCTCTAGACGTCGACGAGTGTGCGGTAGTGAACGGAGGCTGCCAGCAGGGCTGTGTGAACACCCAGGGCTCCTTCTATTGCGAGTGCAGTACGGGATACAAGCTCCATGCTGACGGGCGCACTTGCGTAAGTAAGTAAACGTTAC